CTACGTCAGTGTTGGAGATTCCAACACCGCTGAGAAGACCAGACATATATTCCAACTTGAAATATATGTCAGGTATTCTCAGCTGAGCGCAGAAGTTAATAATTGTAAAGCTAAGCACAAAAAATTCTGTACAAAAACCAACGAGAATTTCCCAAAGCTTCCTCACAATTTAAATATTATCATCACCAACACGCGTAGTTTACCATAAGCATATTTTCCCACACTGAAAGTGTCAGTCAACTCAGAAGTTAACCGATAAAATCGTTACGTAAACGAAGTTTGCATAAATCTCGTTGAAACGCTCTGTGAATCTCAACGGAATGCTCCCTTTCCCTTTTAGTTTGCTCTATGTACAAACGGCTTTTTTTCGGTACCTACCACTGGATCATACGAAAACTCAATTACACAGTTCTCACGTTCAAAGGAATATCCTGTTCTGGTGGCGGACCTACTACGGCGTCCTCCTCAACATTCAACTTAGCGTCTCCTGATATGATGAAATAACGAACTCGATACGACGTTTTTCAAAGGGAGAAAACGTCCCATTCCGGATTTTCCGTGCGTGCGTGCGTGCGTTAAATTATCTCTCAACGACTACACCAGTTGAGCTCTCAAGGCACATATCGCTCGGTAGATCATAGCTCATATGTCTTTCAAAAAGCATGAAATTGCTATTTACGCCAACCTATGCCGTGTGTTGATCGAAACTGGTGCGAAAAATGCTAGAAACAAGCCCGTGCCGGGGACCGAACCCACGACCGTTACAAATACTCCGAACCCCGTTTATTCGTCTCGAAGGCCTCATTGTGGAATATGTTTTTCACTAGTGTTTTTTTCATATCACTGCTGAAACTTCATCGTTTTATTAAAAAAGATTTGGACGTTAGCGAAACTTCAGTAAAGCTTAGATTCAGTGGAGTTTCACCCCGGTGACATGTAAAACATATTTCACGACTACTACATATCACCGCGAATTTCGCGTTTTTCACCGAGTTTTACGTCACTCCACGTGAACCGGGTGAAACTTCAGTGATGAATTTTAATATTGCAGGGTGAACCGGTCATACTCGGCACCTTTATTGATATATGAGAGCGAGCGAGATCATGAGCTCTCCTAGTCATACGAATTTCTAAGTAACTCGAAGAATATAACAGAATATTTTTCCTTAATAGAAAATGTAAGTGACAATATATGTTCCGCTCGCTCCGCAAGTCACTTCGCGAAAAAAAAATTTATTATCGGTTGTGAAAATATATACGCCTTATAATTTACATGGAGTATTACTCCACTTCACGTTGAACGGGTGAACTCACTCTGAAGAATTTTCAAAATAACAGCGCCCGCTTTAGTTGATATCGCCATAGTGGCATCTTCTCGAGCATAAGAACCCGGACATATACCAGTGATCATATGTCCCCCCTGTAGGCATATCGTACTCACCTATAGTGTGGGAATATATGTTTGCTTTCCTCAACTGAGCTCGTAAGTTTCCTCACTTCATTATGAAAATCCACACACAATTTTGGGTAGAAGTGTACGAAATCCAACGACAATTTTCCAAAATTTTATCAGAATTTATCCACCAACACATGACATTTTTTGACCAAGTGCATATATTTCCACACTGCTGATCTAATACCGTATGCATGTACATACACCAGTATCGCAAAATATGCACATGGTCAACTACATTGTAGGGAAATTTAGTGAATCTTCTTTGCTTTCTGCGTATTTCTACTCGAATTCGTATGAACTCTTGAATACAGCTGAGGAAAGCGAACAAGAATAGCCTTTTAAACTCACAAGATGCTTTCCGTTGTAAATACGTATTCCACCATTACGTAGGGCGATAGCCAGCACTTTCACTAAAAAACAGCAAACATAACATGAGTCGTCTGCAGCATTT